TGGGATGGAACCCCCTCCCCTTGGTCCATATAGCCCCAGCCCATTGTAGGAGTGCCCCTCACCCCTTGGTCCATATAGCTCCAGGGCAAGGTAGGTTTGGAGCCTCACATTTCTCCTAATCTGTATAGTCCTGGTGCATTGTGGGATTGTGGCACATTGGGGGGTCAGCTCCCGTGTGACAGAGCAGGGACCCCATGAGCGAGGCTCTCGCCCCAGCCAGGCTGATCGCCGAGGGATGATGTCTGAAACACACAAGCACACGGACGTGGGGGGGAGCGAGGACGTGATCTTCGAGGAGGAGGATGGGACCTCGACCGGTGAGGGCAGGGCAGGGCAAGGCAGTGGCTGGTGGGGAGGGGCATTGGGGGGGGGCTGGGATTCCCCCTTCCCCTCTCCCTCCCCTTGGTCTTTATAACATCAGGCCAGTGCATTTCTCCTTGCTCTAGTCTGTAAAATACTAGGCCTAGTGCATTATGGGCTTGGAATTCCCCGTCCCCTGGTCAATATAATGCCAGTCCCAAAGCATGATGGGATTGAAATTCCCCCTTCCCATGGTCCTGAGCTGCTGGGCGGTGGTGGCACACAGGAGAGGGGCCCAGTGTGCTGTGATTGGACTAGATTTCATGCTAAATAGGGTCAGGCCTGGTCATGACTGGGCTGGGAAATCTGCCGTTAAACCCAGGGCGATGCCGTGTGTGTGTGTGTGTCTTCAGTCCTTTGTTTTCGGTCCTAAATTACTGTGCTGTGTGGTGGTTAAACACCCACCGTGTCCCACCCCAGAAGGGCTTCATCTCAGCACTAGGTGAATAGAGGTTTCTCTCCACCCCTTTCCCTGGCTCTCTTTTGATTGGTCCCTATGCTGGAAGGGGTGGAGCCCAGGGTTTGCTTGGTGTGTGTAGCTCTCTGGCGCCGTTAACCGTTTGTGCTCCCTGAGGCTGTGGGGAGAAGAGGGATTAGCTGCATCCTACCTGTGCATACTTTCGTGCTTCCCAGAACAAGGGGCACTGGGGAAAACTCCTGTAGCTCAGGGACTGAGGGGCACCAGCAGAGCTGTGGGGAGCCTGGGGCTGTGGGTTGGAGTTGAGGGGCACCCCCAGTGGCTTGGGTGAATGGGAAAAGGCAGCCCCTCACCTGCAGTGGATGTTGCAGGCGTCTCCACGGTGCAGGAGGAAGAGGATGAATCGGAAGCAACCTCAGTGTCATCTGGAGAGAGCCGGCCATCCACGCCCTCTGCCAACGGGTACCCAGGTAGGTGGGCGGCTCTGCCTAGGGCTGGTCATCTCACGCTGTGGAGCTGGGAGTCAGGACTCCTGGGTTCTCTGTGCAGCTCTGGGAGGGGAATGGGGTCTGGTGGTTGGAGCAAGTGGAGATGGGAGCCAGGACTCCTGGGTTCTCCTCCGACAGAGATTCAGACCCCTGTCCGGCAGCCCAGCTGGCAGGCTCAGGGCTGGATAGGCCATGCAGGTCAGCCCCTTCTGTGTGGTTGGGGGGTGCTGGGGTGTGTGTGTTCTGGGGCTGCCTGTGGCCCCTGTGGATCAGGGACAGTTTGCTGACACCCCCCACACCCCATCTCTCTCTAGGTCCCAGGAGCAAGGAGCTGAGGTCGGCAGTATCGGAGCCCCAGCAGGAGGTGGCGGCAGAGGAGGGGGATGCCGGCCAGGGTCGCTTGGGCTCCCCGCAGGCCCCCAGCCCCGAATGGCATGAATGCCCCGAGTGTGGGCGCGGCTTTGGCACCTCACGGGCCTTGAAGGTCCATCGCAGCTACCATGTGGGCCGGAAGCGGCCGCACACCTCCTCCTCCAAGCCGCCCCCGCCCCGGCCGGCTCCACCCTCTGCCGGGGACCCAGAGGGCCGCGACACCAGGCCTGTGCCCCCCTCGCCCCGAGCCGGAGCCTTCCACTACATCTGCGCTGAATGTGGCCTGGGCTTCGCCTCGCCTGCCTCCCTGGAGGCTCACCGCTGTGAACATGGCTGGCGCCGCAGCCCCCCGGCCCCGCCCCGCAACAAGGGGCCCCCTGCCCCGCCCCGCGAGGCCAATGGCGCCCGGGACGCCGAGGGAGCGGACGGACCTTACCACTGTACCGAGTGCCCGGGCGAGTTTGGCTTGGTGGCGGATCTGCATGAGCACTACATGCTGCATGCCCGAGGGGAGCTGTAGCCCCCTACCTTGCTGTGGGGCCGGGGGGTGGGGAAGGTGGGAGTGAGATGGATGGTGGCAGTGGTGTGATCTGTGGGTTGGACAGTGGCGGCAGTGGGTTCCACAGGCTGCGGGTTGGTGTTTGCAGTGGGATTTGTGGGTTGGATGGGGATCTGTGGGAGGATATGAGGGAGCCAGAATGGTGGTTGCGGTGGGATCCACAGATGAGGATTGGTGGTTGCAGTAGTAGGAGAGAGGATGGTGGGTGTAGTGGGATCCGTGAGTTGGGTGATGTTCGCAGTGGTTTCTGCAGGCTGGGGGTTGGTGGCAGTGATGGGATCTGGGGTCCTGAGACAGAAATGGGGGCCGGGGCCCCCCCCCCGCTTCCTTTATTCTAGTTGATTTGTAGATTCACATGAATCTGACCAGGGCCCCAGCCAGCCTGGCCTCATCTTTGCCTCCCCCCAGAGCGGGGCCTGTTATCCCTCCCAACCTGCCCCCCAGACCTCAGAGAGGGGAGCCCCGGCAATCTCCACTCACCCTTGGGGCTGCAGGATTGTGGAGCTGGAGGGGCCCGGGCCGCCATCCCCACTGCTGCCCGCGAGGGAGGGGAGAAGGCCCTGTCACTCATTTGCTGCCCCTCTGCCCCACGCAGATTAGGCCGGGAGCCACTAAGGTGCCCCTTCCACTAGCCCCGGGCGTGTTTGGAACCCACCGCCCCCAGGGGGTCGGGTGGGGCAGATCCCGCCCGCGCACCCTGTCTGCTTCGCCTTGGAGAGAGCGGGTTGTGGGCGGGCCAGCCATCCGCAGAACAATGAATATTAACGAGCTCATTGAAATAGCTGGGGGGTGGGGACCTTGTTTAATAATAAAAGTGATTCTGTATCTCTGCCGTACTCTGTCCCCTGCGCCGGTGTCTGTCTGGCCTGTGCTGGGTGGGCCTGTGCTTGGGGAGGAGGGGGGCTGTCTCCCAGGATGATCGGGGCGAGGACCCGGCCTGTGCTGTGATGGGTGCACTGATATCGTCACGGCATCACCCTGCTGATGGGTGACATCACCCCATAGTTGTGTGACAAGGGTGGGGACGCTGCACCTGGCCGTCCCCCTGCCAAGGTGGGTGACAGGTGGGTGACATCATGGTGCAGGCCTGCGCTGTGGGGGTGATGCCATGCCTGTGACAGCAGCACCGTCGCGTGTTGCATATTATTTAGGTGGGGGGGCCCCGGGCCCTTCCTAGCACTTGGCCTGGTGTCCTGTGGTGCTGGAGCTAAGACTGTTAACAGCTGTAGCCCCTAGCTTCACTGAGAACTACAACTCCCAGCATGCACCTTGCTGGGGTATTGTTATGTGGTGAGAACTGCAACTCCCAGCATGCACCTTGCTCGGGCATTGTTCTGTGGTGAGAACTACAACTTGCCACTCGCCCAGCCTTTGCTCCTCTGCAAGAACTTCAACTCCCAGAATGCATTTGGTTCGGTCATTTCTCCACTAAGAACTACAGCACCCAGCATGCAGGTGGTTGGGGCATTGTGCCTGAGGATGAGAGCTTGTCGTGGGGGTGGGTGTCAGCCCCTCAGGGGGGCGAGACTGCCCTCCCGGGGGGGGGAGCGGGAATACCTGCCCCAGGGGGCCCTGCAGCACCAGCTCGAGGTGCAAGACAGATGGGCCGGAGAACACGACAGGGGCCCTTTCCCCTCTAGGGGGCGCTGGCTCCCATCTGGGACACCATAGGCTGTGTGTCTACTTCATCTCCGCCCGGCCCAATCCCAGGACTCCAGCCAGCCCCCCACCCCCCCCTCCGCTGGATGAGCCCCTGGCCCAGGATATGCCCTGGGAGATAGCGGCTAGAGGTGGCCCTGGGTGAGCTACTTTATGGGGGAGGGGGGGAGGCTGGATGGGACCGTGGGGCAAGACATAGGGCCAAGGCCACGCATCTGGGGCAGAGCTTCCAGCGACTGAGCCACCCACTGCTGGCCCCTCTCAGGTTGTCGCTGTTCCGGTGGCTGCCCACCCCATGGCCAAGGTGTCCTCTGGGCTGCCCCATGCCCCCAAAGGGGGGAGGAGGAGGGACTGAGGGGGCTGGGGCCTAGGGCTTGTCGCTCTGTGGGACTCATGCAGGGCCTGGGCCCTACAGGAAGCCCTTGGTCCTATATAGCACTTCACGGCCGAGGCCCCCCTGCACTATAGCCCCAGTGCAAGGGCAGGGCCTGTGGGTGCAGCAGCGGGGCCGGGTGCAGTGAGCAAGTCATGAAACCCTCCCTCATGGTTACGGAGGGGCCTGGGGCCCGTCCGCACACAGTCTGGGAGCATCACAGCCCTGGGGCTGCAGCTCCAGAGAGATGGGGGTGGGAGAAGCTGGAGTCACAGCCCGGAGGCCCCCCGGAGTGAAGCTGCGTCCTGGACCATCCCCATTCCTCAGCAGCTGAGGCCATTGTCTTAACACGCTGATCAGCTGAGTGGGGTCCTGGTGCCCTGGCCCGTGTCACTGCCA